CTGTCTGTTTATACATTTACTACGTGACTGAGGGACTACAGAGCTAATACAGATTTTAGTCTTTAAATTCCATTACAAAATAGGCTACATATTGACAACAAACTGAGCTATCTGCCATTTTATCATAACCCCATTTTGAAAAAAGTTGGGACGCTGTGCAAAATGTAAATAAAAACAAAATGCAATGATGTGCAAATCATTTAAACCCTACATTTCATTGAAAATAGTACAAAGACAACAAATCAAACATTGAAACCGAGAAATTTTATTTTTTTTGAAAAATATTTGCCCATTTCGAATTTGGCACCAATGATACCTTTCAAAAAGTTGGGATGGGGACAACAAAAGGCTGATAAAGTTGTGTAATGCTAAAAAAACACCTGGTGGTTGATTGGCAACAGGTCAGTAACATGATTGGGTATGAAAAAGCATCTCAGAGTGGCTGAGTCTTTCAGAAGTAAAGATGAGGAGATGTTCACCACTCTGTGAAAGACTGTAAAGGCAAATAGTGCAACAATTCAAGAATAACATTTCTCAACATAAAAGAGCAAAGAGCTTTTGCTTTTCATCATCTACAGTACATAATATCATTAAAAGATTTAGAGAATCTGGAGAAATCTCTGTATGTAAGGGACAAGGCTGAAAACAGTATTTGCTGGTCATGATCTTTGGGCCCTCAGACGGCACTGCATTAAAAACAGGCATGATTCTGTAGAGAAAATCACTGCATGGGCTCAGAAACACTTCAGAAAACCACTGTCTTTGAAAACAGTTCATCACTGCATCCACAAATGCAAATTAAAAGTCTTAAACACAAAGAGGAAACCAAATATAAACAGCATCCAGAAACACTGCCACCTTCTCTGGGCCTGAGCTCATTTAAAATGGACTGAAGCGAAGTGGAAAAGTGTTTGGTGGTCAAACAAATCAAAACTTTAAATTGTTTTTGGAAATCATGGATACTGTGTCCTTCAGGCTAAAGACCACTCAGCTTGTTATCTTGCTCAGTTCAAAAGTCAGAATTCATGATGCTGTAGAGGTGCATTAGTGTTCATTGCATGTGTGACACGCACATCTGTGAAGGCACCATTAATGCTGAATGATATATACATGTGTTGGCAACATATGCTGCCATCCAGACAACATCTTTTTTCAGGGAAGGCCTCGATTATTTCAGCAAGATAATGCCAAACCACATTCTGCATGTATTACAACAGCATTAAAAGTGTCCGGGTGCTAAACTGGCCTGCTTGCAATCCAGACCTGTCACCACTGAAACCTTTGGCATATTATGAAATGTAAAATATGCCAAAGGAGACCCTGAACTGATGAGCAGCTGAAATCCTATATCACACAAGAATGGGACACATTTCACTTTCAAAACTACAGCAGTGTCTCCTCAGTTCCCAGATGCTTACAGAGTGTTGTTAAAAGAAGAGGTGATGAAACACAGTGGTAAACAGGCCCCCGTCCCAACTTTTTTGGAATGTGTTGTTGACATGAAATTCGAAATGGACATATAGTTTTTTTGCAAACAATAAAATTTCTCAGTTTCAGCATTTGATATGTTGTCTTTGTCGTATTTTCGTTAAACAAATATGGTTTACATGATTTGCTTATCACTGCATCCTATTGTTATTTACATTCTGCACAGTGTCCCAACTTTTTTGGAAATGGGGTTGTACACAGATTCCCAAGTACACAAAGTTATTATCCTCACTATTTTTCCTTTATTGATATTAAGAATGCAAATAATAATTGCATTATTCATCACTAATGCATGATAAGTTTTGACTTAACATCAGGTATATTCTCAGTATTTCTGACACATAGTGGTATATATTTTAAGTATGTCGCATTTAATTGTTTACACATTTTTACACAATTTATTATTTAAGTATTATTACAAACAGTTAACCCCTTACCAAGCCATGGGATAGTGGCAGATCCAAAGTTTTATTTATTTTATAACCTAAGAATAACTTCATTAGTTTGCTTTGAAGTCCCTGTAGTTACTGAATAATAAACGTTAGTATGTAATAAGCCTGGGATTTTAAGGGGTTAAGCTATTACCTAGCACTGCTTATGCAGTCACAGTTTATATATCTGTACTATATAAACAAATAAGTGAATACAATATCAATTAATTATGGAACACTGCTGGTGACAACCTGTATAAATAAAAATAATGCGTGGCCACGACTTATTAACGCGTGGGAACGAGATCCTAATGTGTGGCCATGCCTTACTAAGTCGTGGCCACGCATTATTTTTATTTATACAGGATGCCACCAGCGGGGCTCCGTAATTAATGCTTTTCACTTGTTTACTTAATATGAGTTAAGTGTTATTAAAAGTGTACGTTGTTAATCTTAAAAATGTACTATTTAATGTTAGTCAGCACCACCAAAAAGGTAAGTTTAAACTGGCTGTGTAAACAGGACATTAATGTTTAAACTGGCTGTGTAAACAGGACATTAATGAGAAAATAACTGAACAAAAGGCTTAAACTAAAGAGGACCTAAAGGAAGTGTGAAATATGCTGAACTAGTTACTGCCTGCTACTGCTTAAGTCTTATTAATATTAGGCTATAATTTAACATTGCCTAATGAATCCTAATTTATCTATGTAGTTTATAAAAAAGGGAAAAAATATCAATTAATGCCGTAGTTAAATCTTTAGTTAATATTAGCTAGGTATTATTAATTTGGTATCTCATGTTGTTTGTGTTAACAACTGCATTACTTAATATAAATCAGTCAACAGTTATTGTAACATATTACCGGAATTTATGTATGATCAAAGTCGAGCTTAGGCAACTTTTATAAGTAAGGGCCACTCTGACCAGATGTGAGTTTAATTGTACACAAAAGATAATTAAACTGATTAATTAACTGATTAAACATTTTTGCATTTATTTATTTTGGATAAGTCAAAAATTAGTTTATTTTTGTTTTTAATGTCTGGACAACAACAGCAGCTTTCTTGATATTAAAATTAACATTGGTTCTCATTCCTTTTCCTTCAGTAAGCCACTGCATCAGAGCAAGTCCAGAATTGAACTTGACGGAACACCTAAACTGCACAATAACGCCTGCAAGTATGTTGATCATTCAAAGTATTTCAAAACTGTTTTTGCAGTAATTTTTGGACAAGTGAGATTTCATAGTTTAAGGAGTACATGGGGTCCCCAGTCTAACTCTCTGAAGAGTTCAGATCCACCACACCTGCCTGTAATATTCGAATGAAGGTCATCATTACCTGGATCGGGTGTGTTAGGCTATGTTCAGACTGCCACCCCAAATCCAATTTTTGCCATCAGATTGTATCCAGATTGATTTGGGTTAGTCTGAACAGCTAAAACAAAAAAAAGAAAAAACATGAAATCTGATTTTGTGAATTGGATCCAAACCACTTTTTTTACAGAGATTTTTACAGACACGTCTCAGTTCGCACAGTCTGGCTGCTCAAATTTGATTTCATAGAGTCTTTTACGTTGGTCGCGAAACAACAATGATGTCAAATCCAGAGTGACAGAAGTGCTGGAATTCATGCTTTTGCCAGACAATTTAGAAGAATTTGGAGGGCAAGATGATGCACCTCCATCTGTGCTGCAGCGGCATTTCAAATTCGTGTCCCCTGCATAGCTACATAGTTACTGATGTCTATATTGTTACCACAGGCACCCATGCAGATAGGCTGCTGAAGTCTGGACACACAAATCAGAAATCACAAATCTGTCAGTGTGCACCAGCACTTAGCCAAGAGGCTAACATGACTTCTAACTTCACTGCCTTCACACCCTTACAGAAGAGCACCGGTGAGTCATTATCAGTCTGGTTGGTTACTGATTCACTTGTGTTCTGACACACAGTTATGAAGTTCATCAAACTCACAATAAATGTTTTTTTTTTGTTTTTTTTTATGTACAGTAGAATTCATTGAGTACAACGGAATCCAAAATGAAGCATCGACCTGCCTTGCCTTTATAAATTCAATTGATTACAACACTTATTTACTGCACTACAATAACATGAAATATGCCATTGCATTAATTCATAGTCCGTCCCTTTTCCTCTTAGTTATTGTCACATTTATCATTATCAAACATAATACATTATATTATATTATATTACGTTTTTATGTTTTCAAATTTTTTAAATATTTACTGCAATATGCAGATCAGATTTACCCGCCACCAGAAAAACACAACAGTGGAATGAAAGACTCAGCAGCTCTGTGGAAAGAAGCAACACCTTGCAGAGACTAAAGCTAAAAGCCTGGGCTTTATACTAACACTAACTAGAGACATCAGGTAAAACACATCAGTGCTCTGGAGACTGAGAGCGATGACTGGAGCAGAGGAAGGGTTAAGGATCACATGATCCCCCAGATGGTTCTGGGAAATGGAGTACAGAGACAGAGAGATGCGTGACACTTACATACATTTGGCCATTGGACATAATACACACACAAATGATAACCAATAATTATTTGACAACAAAGAATGGAATTAATTTTCTTTTGTTTTTCAGTACATTAAAGAAAAGTTTAGGGTTATGATGATGCATCACCGGCTCCTTCTGTTCCAGTCTTTAGCTTATTTATTAACTGGGAAACAATTTCCTTTGATTAAGATCAGCTTCTAAGAGCAACTTCTACACCAATAACATTTAGACATGATAGATAACAGAAACAAAACTGAGATTTAAATAATGAATTAATAACGTTGGAGAATTTCTCACATGATTTTCTTCTGAACTCTGATTCAGAACAGAACTTCAGTTTACTTTCCTGGATTATGAAGTTAAAGTTCTGCTAACTTTATAACTTTTGTCACATCTGGGGTGTTTATTTATTTATTCATTTATTTTTTCAGATAATTCATCTCACAATGGGACAGAGATTAAAGGTATGATTATTATTATAAATGTGCAAATGTGTTTCTTTTCACTGGTCACTGTTTTCCTTTTAGTCTATTTATTGTTGTAGTGTTACTTTATTCGAAGTCAGTCTGGACCATTTCTATTGATCAACTCATCATTAAAATTTCAAGGTTTTGTTCCAACAGTGACTTTATGTTTATAGTCATTCATCAGATTTTATTCATTTTTACAGTTCCACCTGTTAACAAGACAGAAGGTAAGCAAAATATAAACACTGGTTAACAAACTTGATAGGAGGTCAGAGGAGGCTCATTTGTTCTTTGCATATTAAAAGCTTAAGTCTTGCTAATCATTATAGATTAATTCCCAATTATTATTATTATTATTATTATTATTATTATTATTATTATTATTAATTCCATATTATTATTATTATTATTATTATTATTATTATTATTATTCATAATAATTTGGCTGTGTTGTTAAAATCTAAGTCAACAAAATTTACAACACTTATTTACTGCACTATAATCACATATGACATATGCCATTGCATTAATTTATAGTCCGTTCCTTTTTCTGTTAGCTATTGTCGCATTTATCATTATCAAAACATAATACACTGTTTTATTACGTTATGATTTTTTGTTGATATTACATTTTTTTAAATATTTATTATGCAATATGCAGATCAGACTTAATTTCAATAACAAACCTGGAACAAACAATAAAAGAAAACCTGCCACTGTAAAGGGCAAGTAATGTACTGAATACATCGCTGCTGTCAGAACAAAACCTCGTATCTCCATTTTTGAAGGTTTTCGGTTTTTGACATAATTAGAAAACCCTGGTTGGTCTTAACATTGTATCAAAATCTCATGATGAATGGACCAGAAGAAATGATATAAGGTATAGGTTTTTTCCTTCTCCTGTAAAGTCACCATTTTGGAGATACAAGGTTTTCTTCCAACAACAGCGATATATTACATGACATTATTCCTGGTAAGAGAAATATTGTTTCAATATTTATGTATAAACCATCAAATACCATGACAATAATGTCAATATGATAAATTTAACTGCTGGTGTCCTTTTTTACAACTGAATTACTGCATGTAGGCTCTGGCCTCCTGATGTTGGTCCCTCTCACTAGTAAGACCAAATTAGTACCTTTGCTTATGCAGATGCAAACAGCTGTGATTAGGATTCAAGTGAATCTTATATATGTTGTGGTTTTTCTTGCAGGAGCTCCACCTGAGAACCAAACTGTTGATTCATTTTGAATGAAGCTTTAAAATCAATAAGTGAACATGTGCCTGAATGCGCTGCTGAGAGTCAAATCACAAAATTTCCATTTTCCCAACTTTGAACTTTGATCTTGATGCTGTGACATTTTGACAAAACCTGTTAGTATAATTGTGCTGTTGTTGACCACACTGAGAGGTCATGCAGCCATTTTCATAGTCTTCCATGACCACTCCTCACTTGTCTTACTGTAACACCACAGAATGAGTCAGACACTCACGGATAAACAGAGAATGAGAGGGTTTAGTGTTTGAGTCGTGATCCAGAATCGTGGTCAGAAAACAGGAACGGATCAAATCCAAAACAGACACAAACTACAAAAACACAAACATAACACTAGGCGAACTGTCCAAAAAGGGGTCAAGCAGAAAGGGAAAGTCAAACAACAGGAAAGTAGTCAGAAACAGAAAAACACAACAGTGGAATGAAAGACTCAGCAGCTCTGTGGAAAGAAGCAACACCTTGCAGAGACTAAAGCTAAAAGCCTGGGCTTTATACTAACACTAACTAGAGACATCAGGTAAAACAAATCAGTGCTCTGGAGACTGAGAGAGATGATTCGAGCAGAGGAAGGGTTAGGAGTCACGTGATCCCCCGGATCGTTCGGGGAAATGGAGTCCAAGGAGGCTTCAGAGTCAGAGGGATGCGTGACACTTACAGACATTTGGCCATTGAACATAATACACACACAAATGAGACCCAATAATTATTTGACAACAAAGAATGGAATTAATTTTCTTTTGTTTTTCAGTACATTAAAGAAAAGTTTAGGGTTATGATGATGCATCACCCACTCCTTCTGTTCCAGTCTTTAGCTTATTTATTAACTGGGAAACTATTGAAATGGTTTAAGATCAGCTTCTAAGATCAACTTCTACACCAATAACGTTTACACACAATAAATAACACCCTGTGATTTAAATAATGGATTAATAACGTTGGAGAATTTCTGACATGATTTTCTTCTGAACTCTGATTCAGAACAGAACTTCAGTTTACTTTCCTGCATTATGAAGTTAAAGTTCTGCTAACTTTATAACTTTTGTCACATTTGGGGTGTTTATTTATTTATTCTTTTATTTTTTTCAGATAATCCCTCTAACAATGGGACAGAGATTAAAGGTAGGATTATTATTATGAATGTGCAAATGTGTTTCTTTTCACTGGTCACTATTTTCCTTTTAATCTATTTATTGTTGCAGTGTTGCTTTATTCGAAGTCAATCTGGACCATTTCTATTGATCAACTCATCATTAAAATTTCAAGGTTTTGTTCCAACAGTGACTTTATGTTTATAGTCATTCATCAGATTTTATTCATTTTTACAGTTCCACCTGTTAACAAGACAGAAGGTAAGCAAAATATAAACACTGGTTAACAAACTTGATAGGAGGTCAGAGGAGGATCATTAGTTCTTTGCATATTAAAAGCTTAAGTCTTGCTAATCATTATAGATTAATTCCCATCCATCCATCATCTAAACAGCTTATCCTTCTGGGTCACGGTAGATTAATTCCCAATTATTTTTATTGTAATTATTATTAATATTGTTGTAGTGTTGCTTTAATCTAAGTCAGCAACACTAACAACACTTATTTACTGCACTATAATCACATATGACATATGCCATTGCATTAATTCATAGTCCGTCCCTTTTCCTCTTAGCTATTGCCGCATTTATCGTTATCAAACATAATACATTGTTTTATTACATTATGATTTTTTGTTGATATTACATTTTTTAAATATTTATTATGCAATATGCAGATCAGGCTTAATTTCAATAACAAACCTGGAACAAACAATAGAAGAAAACCTGCCACTGTAAAGGGCAAGTAATGTACTGAATACATCGCTGCTGTCAGAACAAAACCTCCATTCTTGAGGGTTTTCAATTTTTGACATAATTTGAAAACGCCTGTTGGTCTTTACATTGTATGGAAATTTTATGATGAATGGACCAGAAGAAATGACACAAAACAGCTTGGAAAAAATTCTGGTTCCTTTGACTTACATTAAGAGTAAAGTAGGTTTTTTCCTTCTCCTGTAAAGTCACCATTTTGGAGATACAAGGTTTTCTTCAAACAACAGCGATATATCACATGACATTATTCCTGGTAATAGAAATATTGTTTTAATATTGATGTATAAACCATCAAATACCATGACAATAATGGGTCAGGCAGAAAGGGAAAGTCAAACAACAGGAAAGTAGTCAGAACCATAAAAACACAACAGTGGAATGAAAGACTCAGCAGCTCTGTGGAAAGAAGCAACACCTTGCAGAGACTAAAGCTAAAAGCCTGGGCTTTATACTAACACTAACTAGAGACATCAGGTAAAACAAATCAGTGCTCTGGAGACTGAGAGCGATGATTGGAGCAGAGGAAGAGTTAGGAGTGATGTGATCCCCCAGAGGGTTCTGGGAAATGGAGTCCAAGGAGGCTTCAGAGTCAGAGGGATGCATGACACTTAGACATTTGGCAGTTGGACATAATACACACACAAATGAGACCCAATAATTATTTGACAACAAAGCATGGAATTAATTTTCTTTTGTTTTTCAGTACATTAAAGAAAAGTTTAGGGTTATGATGAAGCATCACCGGCTCCTTCTGTTCCATTGTTTAGCTTATTTATAAACTGGGAAACTATTGAAATGGTTTAAGATCAGCTTCTAAGATCAACTTCTACACCAATAACGTTTACACACAATAAATAACACCCTGTGATTTAAATAATGGATTAATAACATTGGAGAATTTCTGACATGATTTTCTTCTGAACTCTGATTCAGAACAGAACTTCAGTTTACTTTCCTGCATTATGAAGTTAAAGTTCTGCTAACTTTATAACTTTTGTCACATTTGGGGTGTTTATTTATTTATTCTTTTATTTTTTTCAGATAATCCCTCTAACAATGGGACAGAGATTAAAGGTAGGATTATTATTATGAATGTGCAAATGTGTTTCTTTTCACTGGTCACTGTTTTCCTTTTAATCTATTTATTGTTGCAGTGTTGCTTTATTCGAAGTCAATCTGGACCATTTCTATTGATCAACTCATCATTAAAATTTCAAGGTTTTGTTCCAACAGTGACTTTATGTTTATAGTCATTCATCAGATTTTATTCATTTTTACAGTTCCACCTGTTAACAAGACAGAAGGTAAGCAAAATATAAACACTGGTTAACAAACTTGATAGGAGGTCAGAGGAGGATCATTAGTTCTTTGCATATTAAAAGCTTAAGTCTTGCTAATCATTATAGATTAATTCCCATCCATCCATCATCTAAACAGCTTATCCTTCTGGGTCACGGTAGATTAATTCCCAATTATTTTTATTGTAATTATTATTAATATTGTTGTAGTGTTGCTTTAATCTAAGTCAGCAACACTAACAACACTTATTTACTGCACTATAATCACATATGACATATGCCATTGCATTAATTCATAGTCCGTCCCTTTTCCTCTTAGCTATTGTCGCATTTATCATTATCAAACATAATACATTGTTTTATTACATTATGATTTTTTGTTGATATTACATTTTTTAAATATTTATTATGCAATATGCAGATCAGACTTAATTTCAATAACAAACCTGG